GCTGCAACAACTCTAGTCTTTCTAGCAGTCCCAGGGAAAGTGTCAATGCATTGCGTTGGCTCTGAATGATCCTGGAACCAATGCAATGTTTTGATTAGTCACACGCCCACGTCTGGAGCAAGAGGGGTGAAGTCAATACCTCCTGCACAGAATGAGCCTGGTTTCCGAGCAGAGAACTGAAGTGCTGTTGCCAAAGGAAGCAGGAATAGATGTTTCCAAAGCTGACTGCCCACCAGAATGACCAACTTTAAAAAAACAACAACAGTTCTAGGAAGCTGGCAATGGATTCCCTCAGCTCGGGGTGGAGCCTTGAAGTCTAGATTTTGAACAAGCCTTCCTGCTGCCAAGGCTAGTGTTTGGGTCTCTAGGGGCGCCCCCGTCCATCCCTCCCCAGCTGCACTCCCTACTCCGCACTGGATGGATCTGTTGACATCCCCACTCCCTTCCAGAGTCTGAAGCCCCAGATGGCAGGGGCTCCTGCAGCTCTGGGTACCTGGCCTGGAGTGAGCACCCACAACCCATTTGCAGACAAGCCGCCTTCTCCCGTGTGGGCTTTCCTGGGAGAGAAAAGCTTCTATTTCAGGAAGGGGTTGCCGCGATGGAGGAAGGACCATGGCAGCAAAGGCGGGCAGGCGGCCAGGAGTGGGAAAGCCTCACGGTCCCCTGGGCCACACACGCTTAGAAGACTCCAGCATAACTTGAATAAGAAAGCGACCACAACAGGGATGGTGATGGTGTGTGAGGGTGCTGGCTTGGCGTTAGCATCAGATCCCCATTTTACAGACGATGAAGGGAAGGCCCCCGGCAGGGGCGGGGGGGCTGGTCCAGGAGCACAGTTAGGAAGTGACACAGCTGGGCCTGGGCAGCCTGGCCCACGTGACCACTAGCCACCTGCCCCTCACCTCTCAGAGGGCTGGCACCAGGGCTGGGGTGGGGGGGGCGGACATCACGCATATTTGCAAGGGGCCCATTTCCTTCTTAGTAGCATCCAGCAAACCTAAGTCAACAGCGGAGGAAATCAGGGGAGAGCAAGAAAGAGCCCATTGTACACCTCTCCAAAAAGGCTATTTTCTGCCGACTTTTTATTCCTCCAGCTGCGTGCTGAAGGTCATTGGCGACGTCTGCACAAACCAGTGAAGTCACAAAAAGGAAAACTTGGCCGGGGAGCACGAGGCTGGGGAGGGCGGAGGTGGAGCCAGAGGAGGGTGGAGACAGAGGAGGAGGGGGCCAGGCCACTGCACACCCGGGGACGGGGCCTCCTGACCCTCCCTCAGTCAGCCCAATGGCCTGCCTCCCTGGCCGTGACCACTCCCGTGGGCTGGCTTCCCTGCGCGCCCACAAACAGCCCAGCAGCAGGAGTCCACCCGCATTCCTGTGAACGCTGGGCGCTGCTCCCTACTTCTCAGGAGGAAAGCTCTCTTGGAAGAGCTGGAAAGGTGAGTGCCAAGTTCAGGTTCATTTCCTTCTTCTCAGGGGGTTTTTATGAGTTTGGAACTGGGGCGGGGCATGTGGCCTCTGCTTGGAAAAGCGCTTGATCGTCTTTTTGAGAGGGACCCGTTGAGGGACAGAACCTGCCTGCTCTGAAGGGGGTGAGTGAGGAGGGGCGAGGGGGGAAGCCTCAGGGGAGAAAGGAACTGTTGTCCTTTGTACCTGTGAAGGCCCGAGGTGGACTTTAGGGTTAGAAAAGAGAAACCTGGAGGGAGGAAGGCCACCTCTCTGAGTGTTGCATGCCTCGGGGGCTGGGACCTCCTAGGGCAGAGCCACCTGCTTAGGGGAGGGCCTGGCTGGCTCAGGCTCACCTCCAGGGCTCCTTCTAGGAATGGGCCCAGGACCTGGGACATCGGGAAGGTGTCAGAAGGGTCACCGTCTTCCCAGATCCAGACCCAGGAAGGAGGCACAGGGCTTGTGGCTTGCTTTGTCCTCTTCTCCGATAACCTGTCTTCCCTTTCAGACCAGGCACATAGCCCCCCGGAACCACGTGGTCATTCACAGCTCAATCTCAGGGGCGGCGGGGGGCGGGGGGCAGTGTGCATGTATGAGATGGGTGAGTCTGATGCGGACTGGCCTCAGGAGGCAGAAGTCAAGGTTTAGAACCACGGAGTCAGGGCTTACCTGGGGTTGCAGAAGAATTTTTTTCTTTTAAGAGAAAAGAATCTGCTTAGACTGTTAAGTATGACCCAAGCATTCTTGAAAAAGAAAGTTTCATCGACACACCCCAAACAATCTGTTTTTGCGGAAGAGCTTTCTAACTGGCAGAGCCCTCCCGAGGGGCAAGACTGCTGGCAGGGGTGGGGGAGGCGATGGATGATGGAGAGCTGGAGGCTGAGGCCTGGGATGGTCCCCCACTCCCGAACCAGCTCCCCGGGGCTCTAGTGTGGACGCCCCTACCAGGCCATGCCTGAGGCGGTGGTACCCTTGACATCACTTTCTGGGCTTCTCCTACCTTCCTGCCACTCCTTCTTGGAGCCTTTCCTGGGCACCTCCTTCTCCCACGGCTTCAGTAGCATCTCTCAACTGATCAGCCTGGAACTTCTATCAGCGTTTCCCTCTGGTCGCTAAGAGCTGCCAGATACCTACCAGGCTTTGTGCTGTGTGAGCCTTCAGCTGTTCAGTGTGCTTGGACCACACACTTTTAAATCTTGCCGTCAGCGGCTTATCGAGTATGTAACCTTGGGCAAGACGCTCGCTTCCCCTGGCCTCGGTTTCCTGCTCTTTGGCAGGGGGATAACAGTAACACCTACCCCACAGGCTTCAGGTGAGGCTTCTATGACTCGACAGAGACAAAGTGCTTTTAACAGAGCCTGTAGGTGTGTTCGGTAAGTGTTAGCCCTTCACACTGTCTCTCTGAAGCCTCACGGCAAGCCTCAAAGGTACGTATAATTATCCCTATTTGCAGATAAAAAAACAAAACAAAAACAAAAACAAAACCAAAGCTCAGCAAAGAGGTGGAGCCCAACTAGCTTTTAGTCCAGCAGTTTCTCTGGTACTCCGCACTACCAGTGAGTCCAGAATCCACTCTTTTCATCGCCATACTAGATTGCCTTTCCATAATGGTTACAGAAGGAATAAATACCCCACCCTGGAATTTGCTTTTCAAGTGGCACCTGCCTTTGAAAGCGCAGCTGACCGGCAACCCGGTTCTGTGGAGAAAGCACTGGTCCGTGAGGACAGACTTAAAACTATGAAGACAGCCTGCCATATAATATCTCACTGACTCTTCACCGTGCTCCTTGGTGACATTACCTTATTTTGCAGGTAGCTGAGATAGAGTCAGTCACTTCCCCACAATATCGCGATTAGCATACGTCAGGATTGGGATCTGATCCTGTGTCTGACTCTAAAACCCTGGCTGAGTCCCCGAGTCTTTGATGGAGCTTAAAAAAAAACAGTAATTCATGCCCACTGAATCAGAATCCCTTGGGCGAGGCTTGGGCACGTGACTTTTAAGAGCCAAAGTCCAATGTGCAGTCAACACTCAAAAGTCCTTGCAGCGACACTGCCTCTCCCAAGTGCCAGACCCATGTTTCCAAATGGCTACCGAACACCTGACCTGGGCACTGACCAGCCTCTCACCCCAGTGGGCTCAGGCTGAACAAACCCTCTCTCCCGACTTCTCAGGGCCTCTTACCACCATGCATCCGCCTGTCTCCCCTGCTGGGCTCCCACATCCTCTCCGTCCTCGCTGTAAGCACTCTTCAAGATGTCTCCCAAATCCATGGCCCCTCCACCTTTGCTGCCTCCATCTTGGTGAAGGCCTTCATCAGTTCCAGTTTGGGTTGAGGCAACCAGGCAACTCATCTACTTCTGGATGTCTCCATTCTTCCTTTTCTGTGTCTCTGTCTCTTGCTGGGCTATCCCCACTCCTTCTCGCCTGTTCCCTCCATCCCCAAAGGCCAGCCCATATCCTTTCTCTGACCAGGTTAATGAACTAGAAACTATCTCATCACCGTCTGCTTTAAAATTTCCACCAGCTCTAGACCCCCCCACCCTGCAGCTCAATATTCACAGTCCCTAGCACAGCAAACCCAGGCCCTCAGCCCCTGGCTCTAAGTTCCCTCCTCCCTGGCCACACAGGCCATGTTGCAGCCACACAAATACTCCCCCTATCCCTTAAACATACCATACCCTGTCACGGGCTGTGAACATGCACCTTGCGCCTCCTGCCTGAAACGGGCTTCCAGCCTGGCTCAGCTCAAAAACTGCTTGCTTTGTGACACCATGTTCAAATGTCATCTCCTCTGGGAAGCTTTCCTGGAGATCCCCTTGGGGGTGGGTACTCCTTCCTCTGTCCTTCCCAAGTACGAGACTCCTCCATCTTCAATCACAGGATGGCGTTAGAATGATCTGATGACATGTCTGTCCCTCAGTGAACTCCTCAATCAACAATCACGTATAAAATGTCGCCGACAGCCAGGTGGGGGCCCAGGTGCTGGGGATGATGAGTAAAACCGAGTTTCTGGCTTCGAGTTTATTGTGCACGGCAGAGAAGAGGGGATAGGGCACTTCAGAGAGAGGGCACCGCTCATGCAAAGACCAAGAAGGCAGGGGCAGCTAGTCTTAGTATGTCTGTAACGAAGGATGCTTGGCCAGAGTGGCAGGGGATGCGGTGGGGTAATCAGGGGAAGCAAGAGGTCTGGAAGAGCCATCCTCACGCGTCCTGAGATGCTCCCCCGATTGCCCCAAGACTCCATCCACGTGATGGAGACAGGACTGGAGAGGGCCATGATCACATTGCTGGCTCAAAAAGATCCCCATGAGTTGCCTGAGATTGTGCCAAATCCATCCTTACACCCTCAGCACCTCACGCAGGTCCTGGAGGACAGCAGGCCCACAGACGCAGGGGAGAAGGCAGGAATGCCCACCCGGCAAGGAAGCGCCCCCCCCCCCCCGGGGCGGGGGGGGGGGGGGGGGGCCCCGGGCCGCCCCGGGCCGGGGGCCAAGGGCCCCCCCCGCCCCCCCCCGGGGGGGGGGGGGGTGCCCGCAGGTGCCCGACTCCGGCCATGCTGGCTCCGGCGCTGCTGTGTGCCTGCCTGCTGCTGGCGGCCCCCGCCTCGCGCGCCTGGCCCCGTACCGACCCGGAGGAGCCCGGCTCCAGCACGGCGGCGCAGATCCGCGACATGCACGAGAAAGTGACGGCCATCTGGCAGGAGCTGACGCAGCGGCGGGCGGCGGCCGAAGGCGGCCCGGACGCCGCGCTCCACGCCGCCTGCCGGGTGCAGCCGTCCGCCACGCTGGACGCCGCGCAGCCCCGGGTGAGCGGCCTTGTGCTCTTCCGGCAGCTGGCTCCCGGCGCCCGGCTCGAGGCCTTCTTCGACCTGGAGGGCTTCCCGGCCGAGGCCAACAGCTCCAGCCGCGCCATCCACGTGCACCAGTTCGGGGACCTGAGCCAGGGCTGCGAGTCCACGGGCGCGCACTACAACCCGCTGGCCGTGCCGCACCCGCAGCACCCGGGCGACTTCGGCAACTTCGCCGTGCGCGACGGCCGCCTCTTCAAGCACCGCGGCGGCCTGGCCGCCTCGCTCGCCGGCCCGCACTCGATCGTGGGCCGCGCCGTGGTGGTGCACGCGGGCGAGGACGACCTGGGCCGCGGCAGCAACCCCGCCAGCGTGGAGAACGGCAACGCGGGCCGCCGGCTCGCCTGCTGCGTGGTGGGCGTGAGCGGCCCGCTGCCCTGGGCGCGCCTGGCGCAGGAGCACGCGGAGCGCAGGAAGCGGCGGCGGGAGAGCGACTGCAAGGCCGCCTGAGCGCGCACCCCGCTTCCCTGCGGGCCCCGACGCCCTTCCCTTCCGCGCGCGCCCGAGACCTGCCCCCTGCCTGCCTCGAGTCTCTCCCTCTGCTCCCAGAGAGACCGCCCCCGCCCCGGGGTCCCAGTGCTGCCATGGCTGAGGTCTCCCCCAAAAGCCCCTCCACCCAGAGGCCTCCAACCACGTATGCTGAGACACGCCTCTGCCTCCAGAAGGCAGCCCCCGCCCTCTGAGACACTCATCCTGAGCTCTGAGGACCCCCGGAGGTATTGAAATACCCCATCTGCCCTCCCCAAACCTCTCCCGCCTCCCCCAGGTCCCTTTCCACCCTGACACCCTTACCCTCAGTCCAGGAGCCCTGAAACCCCTCTTTGCCCTAAGGCCTCAGCTCCTCCCACCCCGTAGATTCCTTCTGAGACCCCTCCTGAGGTTACCCAGAACCCTCGCCCGCCCAGCCACCTCTCCCGCACCCTGCCAGCTCAAGCAGCCTGCGGTCAGGCGCCCCTGCCCGGTGCCCTCAGCTGTCACTCGCCCACTGCCACCCGCAGAGAGCTGCCCCTTTGGGAGCTGTTTGGCAATCTTTGTGTTGCACATTAAAACTCAGCAATTCAGACTTGCATTTGGGGCCTTGGTTACTTATTTTGTCTGTCTGAGGCTCTGCTCCCAGGCTCAGCTAGTCTTTGGAAAGAGCAAAGATATTTCCCAAATCCCCACAGGATTTCTCCTTATCCTCTCTCTCCAAGTCTGCTGGCCACGGTATTCAGTGTCTGGTTGGCACGTCTTCTGTGTGGCTCCCAAGATGGCGGGCACCGGGATCACTCAGGAAAGAGAGAGAGAAAAAAAAAAAATGACGGCTTCCTGGGCTGGAATCCAAAGGGAAAGATGGACATCTATTTGCAACAAGCTTCCTGGTGATTCCCAGGCTGGAGCCACCGGCCTGGCACACGGCTCATGCCACCTCACTGGGCCTTGGGTCTCCTGGCATGGGCCTCTAAGTGCAGCCCGAGGTCCACTTCCCAGATGGCGGGGAGAGGGCCAGTGAAGCAGTCGAGCGGGCAGTTTACAGGGAGGTTGGCATTGCTGTCTGAAGTTGCTGGCCTTCTCCAAGACCCGGACAAGGACAATGTTCTTCTTCTTGACTTCTTGACACAAAGGCAGATGGAACCATGGAGCCCAGTGGCAGGCAGGCTGATTTTGATTAGGACTTGGATGTTCAGCCTCTCTTTTTGAAAAGCATAATCTTTACACACAGTAGATCAGAAAGTGCACCCACCTTTATTTATTTTATTGTTTAAAGGATGTTTATTTGTTTTAGCGTGCACGTGCGTGAGTAGGGGGAGGGGCAGAGGGTGAAGGAGAGAGGGAATCCCAAGCCGACGCCACACTGAGCGTGGAACCTGACGTGGGGCTCGATCCTAGGTCCCTGAGATCATGACCTGAGCTGAAATCAAGAGTTGGAAGCTTAACTGACTGAGCCATCCAGGTGCCCCATCCACCCTCGGTGATTGAATAAAAGCACTCCCAATAACTTTCTAACGTCCTTGGGGAGACCCACTCTAGCTGTAGCTTTTCCACCCTGGTTACTCAGAGGCAGCTTCCATTTCTCCCAGACTCTCAAGGCAGTGAGTCAAATGGAACCTTTGCCAGAAACCCATCCCCAGTGGTTATTTTTGCTTCTTACTCGGACTAACTTATTATTTAAAAATCTTTCCTTGAACCCAAGTGACACCCGGAGAGAGAGGTTTCTGCCTGGTGACTGCTCCACCAACTGGCTCTCACTGGTTTGAAGTATTAACTTGAACTGGGCAGATCAGCACTGAGAGGGAACTAGGAAACGGAGGCTTTAAATATCCTGATCTCAACAGATGTGTGTGCCTATCCCCACAGTTAAAAGTTGTGAAAACGAGGCAGGAATCACAGAGGACACACAGTGGAGGCATCAACACCCCATGGATGGATGCCCAGCACCCCATCTTCGACTCTGCTGCCCTGATTATAGGTTAATTCAGGATCATCAGGGGAGGTTTGGACTTATTTTGAGAAGGAAACTGGTGCTTCTCATCACTAACCTTCTGCTGTTGTCCATCCTGGCTATCACAAAATATCACAGACTGAGTGGCCTATAAACAACAGAAATTTGTTTCTCACAGCTCTAAAGACTGAAAGTTCAAGACCATGGCACCTGCATAGTCGGGTGAGAGCTCTCTTTGGGGTTCACAACTATTGACGTTCACTGTGTCCTCACATGGAGGAAGGGACTAGAGATCGCTCTGGAGCCTTTTCTGTAAGGCTCCCCCCATCATGACTTGGGGACCTCCCAAAGGTGTCACCTCTTGTTACCATCATCTTTTGGGGGTTAGGATTCCAATGTATGAATCTGGGGGGAACACATTCAGATAATAGCATCTTCTGTTCTTAGTTTCTCTTTTCACTACCCTTGGCCCCCCTCAAGACTAAAGAGATACCCTAGCAGACCCATTCCTTTTGCTTTCTGTTCATTAAAGGGAATTGGATTGATAAACTGTTTCGTGGGGCTCCAGAGACAAGAAACAGAGAAAGGAAATAATAGAAGGGTAAATTACAGTTCACTGTAAAGGCAAAGGAATGCATCTAGCAGGGTGGTTGACAGCTCACGCTCAAGTAGAAAGGCCTGTTTGGAACCCCAGCTCTGCCACATTTAAAGCTGTGTGACCTAAGTCACTTCACCTCTCTGGGCTTGGGTTTTCTCATCTGTAAAATAAGATCATCATATTGTTGTGAGGATTAAATCAAGTGTTATTTGTGACAGCTATATAGTGTAGCATGAAGACCTAAGTATCTAGCACATGTCTAATTAATAACAATGGCTAAGGTCAGAAAAATAGTTACCCACGAATGGATTCGACTACCTTGTAAGGTAATGGGGGTCCTGCAACTAGAAGGATTCAAGTAAAGGAAAAGTTGCTTCCACTTAGGTTTGTAAGAAAGTTTCTGCATCCATGAAGAAACTGACTGGGATGAACCTTGACCCCAGCTCTTGGGGGTGGTGGTGGTGGGGGGGCTTCTGAGACGAAGGAAGACAGGCAGGCATCTGGTTAGGGTTAGGGTTACAGGCAGGCATCTGGTTTTGGGCCCAGAACCTGATGTGTGCCACCAAACCCGCCCACTGGACCCCACTTGGCCCCTGGAGGCTATTTTTACTCCTCTCATCTTACAGATCTGTTTTGTTAATCTCCTTATATTTGCTGTTTTGACTTCCCAGTCAGCTTGCTAATCAGTTTGCCTGTTTGACTCACAGGGTTTGCATTTGTCACTGAGACTTAAACACACACTTGTTTTGATTTCTTTTTGTAAAATTAGAAGCGTTTGATGTAATGACTCTACCTAGACACAGCTGGTAAAGTGAGAATAATGCTCAAGTTTGCACAGTTTAAACACAATGTAGACAATAATTAGAAATGCTATCTTTAGATGTTTAGGATAAGCTTTTTCTCAGAATTGCAGTGAATTTTTTCCGAGTGGGGCTTTTCAGTGCGTATATATACAGAAATACTAAAAACGTAAGAAAATAGAGCAAATCAGTGAGTGCTTTGGTCAACTTGAAAGACGGCAGGAAATAAACCAACTGATTTTAGATCTGGCATTTTTGACTGAATGCATAAAATCTTTACATTCTCCATAATTTTCACCACTGCCATATGATCTAATAATTTTAGGTGACAGATTGCAACCGATAAGTTGATACAATACTCTAGAAGGAACACTCAGCCTCTATCGTTGGCCTGCAGCGAGGCTGGAGAGGGAAAATGGTGCAAATTAAAGATAATCATCTATATCAGGAAAATTACTGCATGTTTATTTCAGGTAACAAAAAAAAGATATAGTTATATTACATGATGATTGTAGAAACCAATAAACACAGGGTCTGCAAATGAATAGAGGTTACTTCTTTCTTTAAATTAAACTACAAGATAGCAGCTGGTTTGCTTTTTTTTTTTTTTAAAGCCAATTGTTTTAAATTTAATAGGCTATCACTGGCCTCGGCTAAGATCCAAAATATATTCCTCGGCTCACATAGATTCCAGAAAGTCGAACTTGTCAGTGTTGCACAAACTTTCCCTATTAAAAAAAAATCCCACTCAGTCGAGAGGTGATATGAAATGTAAGGCAGCACATCTGTATCTATCATTTTAAATTGCCTTCATGCTGTATCAACTTGTTTTGTTTTGTTTTTGTGAGCAATCATAATATCGAGAGACAGGTCCTTCTTATTTTTCCTGCTTCTCATTTCTAATTAGATTCACTACTGAGCTCTCTATTGCAGCTCTGATTTTCAAATTTTTCTCTGTTCAGAAAGACATCTGGAAAAAAAGGAATATATTAAAGTAGTGACTTAAGGGGAATATTTTGGCTTCTTGACATCCTAACTGAGCCGTGTCATGGTACCCTCAGTATTTACTAAGGAGGGAGATTTTTCCAAATGGAGGCTTCCAGAATGAAAGCAAAAGGCAGACAGAGAAGGTACTCAAAGAGAGGACTTTTTTTTTTTTTTTAAGATTTTGTTTATTATTTGAGAGAGAGACAGAGACGGAATGAGCAGGGGCAGAGGGAGAGGAAGAAGCAGACTCCGCGGAGCGGGGAGCCCGATGTGGGTCTCGATCCCAGGACCCCGGGGTCATGACCTGAGCCGAAGGCAGACGCTTAACAGACTGAGCCACCCGGGCGCCCCAAGAGAGAACTTTTGCAAAGAGAAATAGGATACCAAGCCATCCAAAGGGCTGCAGCAAAACGATGGAGTCAGGAGAGGCCCCATATTTTGGAGGAGCAGCAAACCAAGAGGGGTGAAGGCATGCTGTAATTTTAAAGAAACAAGGAAGATAACACCAATGAGCAGGTAGCTGGTCTTTGAAATTCCTTAAAGAAGAGGTTGAACCACATGGTGAGTAGGGGTGTAAATGCCCCAGTGGGACTAACACATCCAAAGAGTCACCCCAACAGGTGAATGACTGATGGCAGAACCCTTTTCTAGAATTCCCTGTTGTGATGGTGGTGTGTGTTGCGGATTGAGGGCACAAGAGGCACAATGCCGGGAAAATGCATGTAGTTTAAGATTGCCGAGTGGGCGGAGGCTCCAGCTGGGACTGAGCTGAATGCCACCAGGAGCCTCCTAGCTAGAGAGCCTTCTGGAATAGCTGTGTGAGGTGAAGAAGACCGGGGGGTGGGGGGGGGGGGGGGGGGGGGGGGGGGGGGGGGGCGGAAGCTGGGCAGAGGCGGCATGGAAAGAGGCGTTAGGGATGAGAAATGCCTGGTTGAAAAAAGCCAATCCATTTCTAGGGGCCTTAATTAAAAGAACGACACACGCTCATATGTAAAAATCCACACCTAAGGGCTCTCAGGTACAGAGCAGTCACAAGAAAGGCAGAATGTGCAAACAAGCTTTCATTAAGAGACCTGTCGGCTCTGTTTCATTTATCCAGACTGCTCTGCATTCTGCTGGCAACCGAGCCGGAAAAATAATGGAAGGACAGACACACTCGAAGAGGCAAACAAAGGTGGGAACGTCCCAGCTACAAAACAGAACAGATGATAAAGCAGCCAGGGGAGAGCGGAGATGAGATGACATTCTTCTTAACAAAAAACAGCCACCGCCCCGCCCCCCAGCTCCAGACTCATGAGTAACGCAATATTCTGGCTTTTTAAGGGAAGAAAATGAAACAAAATCAGATGTGGGGTTCAGAGACAATGCTGCTGGTGGCTTATTTAAATCTATTCTCAACTTTCCTCTACTGCTCGATTTTGTTTTGCTGTTCACCCTTTTAGAGTCTGCATGTCCAGGGACAGGCCCTCCCCAGTTCATTTGGTGATCCTGATGAGCCTGAGCCCTTCTCAGTTAATTCCATCTCCCTCGCTAGGGGTTGGTTTAGACATAGGCTTGTGATAATTCTGACCAATGAATTGTGACAAGTACTAGGTTTCTTGCTCTTATGCATGCACGTCCGCACATGCACACACACACACGCATGCACACACATGGGGAGAAACTTCCTTCTTGCCTCTGGACACAAATGTGAGAACAAGTGACTGATGCTGGAGCTGTGGCAGCCGTCTCGGCAGCTTGACGGTGTAGCTGACCCTGAGGCAGGCAGAGCAGAAAGATGGAAACCCAGATCCTTGATGACTTCTTGAATAAACCCGCCCCAGAATACCCTACTTCTGAAGTTCTCCTTATGCAATATAATTCATTTTCCTATCGTTCAAGTTTCTTAAAGTGTGTGAATCGTAGCGGAGCGTGCTCAGACTGATGCAAGGCTAGCTGGTGGAGCAGGGGAGAGAACGTTGTGCACTTCCACGAGGACTCTCAAAAAGACAAAAGACAGCCGTAAGTAATTGCTGAAACTCCCTTTAATGTCTGTGGAACAGAGGAGCCACGCGGGGCTGGAACAGCAGGGGAGGGACAGAGTCACATGTGTGTATGGGGCATTGTCAAGGTTACTCATGTGACAGGATCAGCTCATTGGCTCCAATTCCATCTAATAACACAAAACCCTCCCAGGCGGACTGCACACACCGTTTGGATTATCACTCCCTCCGACCTCCCCACCCTGAACCCCACACTCTCCGGGACTCACAGTAGTGTCCCTGCCCGTGATGGAATGTGGTGGCGTTTCTTATAAGCGCTGCTTTCCAGAAGGTGACGGAATGGGCCCTAAAGATGTGCACCTGGCCAACTGTGTGTCAAAACCAGAGCTTCTGTGGGGAGAGATTTTTCTTTTCATTATGATTGTATTAAAGCTGGCTGTGATTTCCTTTGGTGGCTCTGGCGGGCTATGCAATAGCGCTGAACATTTGCAGAGAGTTAAGGCCTAGTGCCGCAGGAAAATTATTTCCGTGGCTGCTGGCCTGTGCAGGCTCTGCAGCTGCAGAAGCCACCTCCCTGGAGAGGAAGTTGAGGGGGCGGGTGTGGGGAGCGGGGAGAGGCTGAAGCACAGTCACAGGATGAAGGGGGCATCAGGGCCTGACGGGCAAGGGGCACATGGTGTGTCCAGATCCCAGCTCCTGGGTCTAGGAGCAACAGTGCACCGACTTGGGCACGCCCCTCTTCCACTATTGGGGTGACCTCTGGTGAGTGGGAAGAAAGCAGCTGGAGGCCCACCTGGGCCCCAAACTTGACCTTCTTGCCTCCACTTCGCTGTCCTTCAGGGTGAGAGCACGCAAAATCTGACAGAGCTCCTCGTCCGTGAGCAGAGTAACGCCGGAGATGAAATAGGGCAGGGAGGCATTGGGGTGGGCTGGCCACCCCCGTGCGGGGTTCACACCTGGGATCATGCACCTGCTCTACCCACCTGGTAATTCGGATGAATTTTCACCTTTCCCACCTAGGGAGCCTCTCTTTTTTCCTGCAGGAGAGCCTCTCAAAGGAGTGACTCTGGTTCTCAGGGGTGTTTTGAGCTTTGGGATATGGTATCAGGCCTTTCTGGGGTCATGAACTGAGTTTCGCTCGAAAAAAGGTCTATCGTTTGATGGGCCTTCCATTTTCTGCAGCTCCAGATGTCACCCAGAAGAGCTAATTTTATCCCTAAGGAAAGAACCAGGAGGGTTGATGCCCCCTCCTTTCCCACCCTGGGTACTTGGTTCCACAGTCCCCTGAAACGGGCTGTAATGAAATTATTTTGCTTTCCTCTCTCTTTCCACTATCAGGCCACACGCCCTGCGTCTCGTCTCTAAGATCCCGGTACCCAGCAGCACAGGCGAAGCAGCCTTAATGGCCCGCAGGAGGAGTGAAGGGTTCAAGGTTTCCCTGGCAAGGGAAACTGGCTGGGCCCTAAGCAGCTCCCTGCCCCAACTGCTTATCTTGTCCCCAGCCCCAGCCCTCCATGGCCATAAACACCCTACAGGCAGCACGGGTGGAAGGCAGAAAACCAGCATTCCCAGGCTCTGGCTCTTATCTCAGAAACGAAAAACCAAAATACTGCTGGAGTCCCCTTCCCCCCTCTTCTCCCTCCCATCACTCCGGGTCAATTAATCCTTCAGAATTACAGGCTGGAAAGCTCAGCTCTAGCAGTCAGCAAACGGGTCTCCACAGGGGCTGGGGATTTCAAACCAGAAGCCCCACCTTCTGAGCCCGCTTAAGCCCCTCTCCACCTGCCAGTCGGTGGCATGACAGACAGTGCCGCGGGCAGGGTGCCAAGAACACCCACGCTGGGAGGTCCTCCCGGGCCCTGACACGATGGAGCGGCGCCACGAGCCCTCTGGACCCATTATGCTCAATTACACCTTTCTCTCCAGCCACCTAGCCATTACAAAGACGGGGACCTGATTAAAAACCCCATCCGTCTCAAGCTGTTCCCATAACTTTGATCAACAACATTAAATGCTAATAGAAAAACATCTTATCTCTAATAAAACCAACGCTGACAGAAAGACGGATGCCGAAAACCAGCCATATGGCAGACACGATTCTGTGCCCGGCCGTGTTCGCAGTAGCGTGTCTCCGGCAGAAAGAGATGACACGGGGAAGCTTGAGGACCCGCATTTAATAAATCAAACTGTGCTGGCATCATCAGAATATTCACAGTTTGCCACAGGACCTGGGTCTCTTCTCACTTGCAGATCTGGAAGTATGTTAGGAGAAAGGAGCTTCCCAGCGCTGTTCTGATGCTTAAGTCGTTACCGTCCCCTGCGCCTTAGACATGTCACCGTGCGGATCCCTTTCCCCTTCAGGTTTTCACGGCGCTCCCCGTGCCGCCACCCTCTGGGGTCTCCTTGCCGTCCTCCAGGGTGGAGGCTTCGGCTGCCAACTGGCTGGACTCAAAGGAGCCCGGGCAAGATTTGGGGGCCTCCCCCTTGGAGGCCAGGCCCGGCGGAGCTGTCCCCAGCTCATGCCTCCGAGCCTCCCCAGGACTCGCTCTCTGGACCTGTTCTGGTTCAGCCTCTGTCAGTCTCATTCTTTCCCCTCCAAGCCTGTCCGTTCCTGCCTCCTCAGACGCTACCCGCGGTGAGGGTTTGCGCTGGTTCCCGTGGTTCTGATTTGCCGCGGAGCGGACGGCGGGCCCTCTAGCGTCCTCCGGGCCTGTCAACGCCTCGGTGGCCGCCCGGCTTCCACCTCGTTCTGGCTTCTGGACCTCCCCTGAAACAGACCCGGGACAGCATTAGGCCTCTGGCGGGAGGTCAGCCCTCGCTCCCTCTCTCTTCCCAACCTCAGGCCCATGTCACCGGGGCTCGGAGGCGGAAAGTGCCGCTGCAGGGGATCACGGGACCCTCGTCAACAAAGAAAGCAGCCACCCTGGTGGCTGCCGTGTCATTCACGAAGGGAAAGGGAGCCTGCGGCCAAGGTCATCACCCATCCCTTCCAGGCGCCTGGTTGTCTCCTGCTTCCCGCTCTGTGCTTCCTCGTGCCCGTCAAGCATCTAAATTGAGGACGAAGGTTCTGTAGACTCTGCGGCTCAGGAAAGACCTGGGGCCTTCAGTCATGAAAAGGGGTGCTGGTGGCCTTCCAGGTGGGAAAGAGAAGAACAGCGTGGGAGGGATTTAGTGTCCCGCATCCTCCCACTCATTCTCCAGCAGCACCTCATTCTTCGATGCACACTGCTGACGTTTCCTCGGCTCCCCACCCCTCCTAACTAAATTGGTCTGCCCAAACCTCCTCTCTAAACATCATTTTCGAGTTCGACTGGAGGGGGATGGGAGAGAACGGGGTCCCGGGAGCGGGCGCCTAGCCTCATTTTCCTACTGATTCATTACTTGGTGATCAGGAGAACCTGTCTGGCCTCCTTTCCTCAGACACAAAACAAGGGGCAGGACTCTCTGATGTCCCTTCCAGACCTAAGCACCGGTGGCCCTGCAGGACAGAGACACGCTTGGGGAGCAACCTCCCAGCACCCAGTCCTGTGCATTCAACGCCAGACTCTGAGGTTCCCAGAAGCCAAGATGTTCTTAGCCCGCAAGCCAAACAGTGGTGACATGCATGGAAGCACCTCACGGGGCCAGGGGTCTGGGGGACACTTCCTGGTACCCCCAGTGGGACCAGAGTAGAGTCCCACTGCCATCAGGCTGGCATCAGACACATGTGGATTGCTTCAGGCTGACAGCTGGGACTTGGGGAAGTGGAGGGAGCACTCAGGACGATTTGAAGAAGCTGACCTGTTCCGACCATGCATTTTCCTGCTTTGGACTTTTTGTCAGAGCCTAGCTGCTTGTAGGATGTATTTTAATTCCTTTCACTTGGGTCTCTCACAGGGTCCTACCCGATCTGCTCCTGTTTCAGCCCGCAGCCTCATTTCCTGTGGTTCTCTCATGTCTGTGTGTCCCTCTATCCATTCTATGCTATCTTTCGGTCTCTGCAGGCACCTGTGGATTCTCCCTCTCTAAAGCTGAATCATAGCAGCTAACGCTTCTTAGGTGCTTTTCTGGGCTGGGCTCGGTGCTCAGCATTTTACACATTGATCTTATTCTAGAATGCAAGCGGGGGCCTCCCCTGACTTGTTCACAGTGCTTGGCACATTCTAAGCATTCAAGAATGTTTATAAAAAGTTCCTCACTCTCCTTTTTTCTTTTGATGGGAGCATAATGTACATAAAAGTGCGCTGACCGTTACGTCTACAGCTCACTGAATTTCACACCGTGGACACACCCATGGAACCAGCAGCCAGGATGAGAAGCAAAATAACCAACCCCCTATAGACACTTCCCAGTCTATCTGCTCCCCTGGGCCCCTTCCTAGTCACTTTTCTGCCAAGAGTGACCACTAGCCTACTTCAGACACCAAAGATGAGTTTTGCCTGGTCTTTGGTGTTCGTATACCAGAGTCGTATTGTATATGCTGGCTTGTGTCTGTACTGTTTTGTGTGGATAAGATTGATCCATGTTACAGTCTGTAGAGTGGGTTCATTTGAAGATGTCACAGCAGTCAACAAATATTTAAGTATGGAATGAAAACAGGCAATTCACAAGGAAATACAAATGGATGGCAAACATGAGAAACGATGACATCACTCTAACTAAAGATATCGAAATTGCAAAGAGATGCATTTTTTCATCTACCAGACTGGCAAATATGAAAAGGTTTGATAAAGCTCAGGTTGGCTGAGGATGTGGGGAAACAGGTATAATCATACATTACTAAAGAGAATAAAAATGAGCAAAACTCTTTGACAGGGCATTTAGGCAATATCTATCACAATCCTAAATACATTTACCCTTTGACTCAGTATTTTCAGGATTAGGAATCTATCTATGGATATTAGTCCAAGTATTTCAAGATGTATGCACCTAGATGCTCAACTATGACATTGCTTTTTTAAAAAAGATTATTTATTTATTTGAGAGAGAGGGAGAGAGAGACTGCGTGAGTGGAAGGAGGTGCGGAGGGAGAGAATCTTCAAGCAGACTCCCCACTGAAGGAGGAGCTCCACATGGGGCTCAGTCTCACGACCCATGAGATCATGACCGGAGCCAAAACCAAGAGTCAGATGCTTAACTGACTAAGCCACCTAGGTGCCCCATGACATTGTTTTTTATAGCAGAAAACTGGACAGAACCTGAGTGCTCATCAACAGGGGATTCTGTATGTACTCGCTGTATATATTTTTTTGTGGCATACACTAAAACTTGTAATTTTCCTCTAGGGAGCAAGCTGAGGGTCAGGGCAGAAAACAAGGATGGAGGAAGGCTTTAAATTTAACTTTATACCTTTCTGTGTCATTTACATTTTCTTCTCTTTTTATTTATTTATTTTTTAAGTAGGCTCCATGCCAAGCATGGAGCCCAACTTGGGGCTTGAACTCAAGACCCTGAGATCAAGACCTGAGCCAAGGGTTGGACGTGTAACTACTGAGCCACACAGGTGCCCCCTCTGTGTCATTTACATTTTAAACACCTGCTTGTATTACTAGTTTAAAAAGGTAAGATATGCAACTTCCAAGATTTTGTCACCAATTACCATCTCGTCTTTCCTTTTCTGCACTAAATTGTAGACCTAAGAGCCTATATCCACTGCTTCCAGTTCCCAGTGCTGATTCACAACTCAGATCCTTCAGTCGGCCTTGTAGCCTCCCTACCCGTGAGCAAGCTCTTGTCACCACATCCGATGCCCCTTTCTCAGTCCCCTCCTGCCTCCTCTGTAGCATGTTTCTTTCTTTCTTTTTTTTTTTTTTAAGATTTTTTTTTTTTGACACACAGAGAGAGAGAGAGAGAGCACAAGCAGGGGGAGTGGCAGGGAGAGGGAGAGGGAGAAGCAGGCTCCTCGCAGAGCAGGGAGCCCGATGCGGGGCTCGATCCCAGGACCCTGGGATCATGACCTGAGCCGAAGGCAGACGCCTAACCAACTGAGCCACCCGGACGCCCCTCCTCTGTAGCATGTTTCTGATGCCACATCCTCCCCTCAAGCTGCTTCTCCCTTTGGTTTCCAAAACACTGTGTTCTTCTGTTTCTCCTCCAATCTTGTTCGGTGAGCATACTGTATTAGTTTCCCATAGCTGCTGTAACAAATTACCACAAATTCAGTAGCTTAAAAGAACACACATTTTTTTTCTCTTATAGCTCTGGAGGTCAGAAATCCAAAATGGCTTTCACTGGGCCAGAACCAAAGCCACACTGCCTTGGAGACTCTAGGGGAAGATCTGTTCTCTGCCTCTTGCAGCTTCTGGCGGCTGCCGGCACTCCTTGGCTTGCAGCAGCATCCCCCACTGTCTGCCTCGGTGGTCACACTGCCTTCTCTTTTCTGTGCATGGCAAATCTCCTTCTGCCTCCCTCTTACAAAGAGACACGTGCTTCTACTGAGGACCCACCTGGATAATCCAGAATAATCTCTCCATCTCAAAAGTGGGTAAATCAATCACACCTGTAAGTCTTTTGCCCACTGAAGGTAACATTCACAGGTTCCAGGAATTAGGATCTGAAATCTTTGGGGGCCACTATTCAGCCTACTCTGCAGGCCTCCTAGTTTCCTTTGTCCAGCCCAAATCTCCTTCTGGCCCCTGTGATTCCCAACCCCCCATCTATGTGCCATGTGTTTCCCTTGTTTTCATTCACTCTCACTCACTGGCCAGCTCATGACCTTAATTCCTGACCATGAGTGCAGCTCCCAAATCTACATGCATGGCTCTGACCCCTTTCTGTCAGAGATACACACCCAGGTTTCTAGCTGCCAACTGGATTCCCCCACCTGGATGATCTGGAATTCCCCTCGCCCCCAAACCTGCCCCAGTAGATGTCCTTGTGCCTGCCATATCAGGACCGGTTCATGGTAATATGGGGCTTCACCCCCGAAGCCACCCACATCAGTGTGCTTCCTTTTTCTATACCCATCAACCGCCAAGTACTACTTATGTGCTTCAGTGCTATGAACCGAATGTATCCTCTCCCCCACCCAAATTCATATTTGAAGCCCTAATCCTCAATATGATGGTATTAGGAGGCGGGGCCTTCGGGAGGTGATTCAGCTTAAATGTGCTCATGAGGGTGAAGGCCTCATGATGGGATTAGTGCCCTTTAAGAAGAGAAAGAGACACCAGAGTTCTTGTTCGCTCCCTCCCTCTCTCCCTCTCTCCCTCTCTCCCTCTCCCTCTCTGTCTGTCTCTCTCTCTGCCATTGAGGACACAGCAAGAAAGTGGATGTCTGCAAGTCAGGAAGAGAGGATCCTCACCAGACACCGAACATGCCAGCACCTTGATCTTGGACTTCCCAGCTTCTAGAACTGTGGGAAATAAGTATTTGTTGTTCAAGACACTTCCCTGATAGTGTTTTGTTATAGAAGCCTCAGCTGACTAAAACACTCATAGTGTCTTGCATCTGTCTCTTCCTCTCCTTTCCCAGGGCAGACCCTCTGCAGTCACGGCTTGATTTCTAAGGCTTCCCTGTATAAATCACTAGGTGCATTTCCCAAAATTTCAGCTGCATTTGATTTAACATCACCTCAGCCAATGAACGGGTAAGCATTCAGAAAACAAGTGCAAACCACTCCTGATAGTTCATAAACCCACCCCCTGGCAGGCGATAGCTACGTGGGGACTATTAAAAAGATTTATATGAATTTTTGAGGATTATTTATATCATTTAGAAAGACTGAATATTCAAAAGTGCATACATCTAACTACATGTAGCCTAAAAAGTCGATAAGATCTAAAAAGT